AACCCAAACCCAAACTCATAAACCCAAACCCAAACCCAAACCCAAACTCATTACCCAAACCCAAACTCCCAAACAGTTTGGGTTTGGGTTTGGGTTTGGTGCATGCCTAGGTGTGACGTAGGTGAAGTTAGCCTCATATTCGAGTAAATCCAACCAAGATTCGGCGCCAAACCCGCCACAGCTGCGCCAGACAGCGCCAGAATACAACTCGACGAGCTCTATCGATTGGTAACTTTGGATTTTCCCTAGCTCGAACCATTCATGAAAAAATCCCAAAATACTAGTTTTTTCCTATGCAAATTTTAGCATATGGATAGTAAATCCAGCCAAGATTCGGCGCCAACGCTGCCACAGCTGCGCCAGACAGCGCCAAAATATAAACTCAACGAGCTCTATCGATTGGTAACTTTGGATTTTGCATAGCTTGAACCATTCGCGAAAAAATTCCAAAATACTAATTTTTTCCTATGCTAATCTTATCACATGGTTAATAAACCCAGCGGACATTCTTCCAGGAAGCTGCTCCAGACAGTTCCACAATAGAACTCGATGAGTTCTATCGATTGGCAGCGTTGCATTCTCCATAGCTGAAACCATTTGTGAAAAACTTCGAAAATACTAATTTATTATCATATGACTCCTATCAAATGGTTACTAAAATCAGCCGATATTCTTGTAGGAAGCTGCGCCAGCTGCTCCAGAGAGCTCCAAATTAGAACTCGATGAGCTCTATCGATTGGAATAAGTAGATTTTCCATAGCTCTAAGTATGTGTTCTAAGATGCGAAAACATCGGTTAAATATGACAATTTATATAGTGAAATTATCGGGATTCCTTCAGGAACATGTTCCAGATCTTCCATCCGTGTTCCAAGTATAACTAGATGAGCTCTGTTCAATGCTGTAATCAGATGTTCCATAGCCCAAACTATAGTTGTAAAAATCGGAAATTACTTGTATTTCGCTACAGAAACTAAGAGCCCAATAAAGTAAAAGTACTATCGATTCGCTGAGGAAGATGTTTCAGGTGTTCTATTCGTGTTCGAAGTACAACTCGACGAGCTGTATTGGAGGATGTTATCAGAATTTCTATAGAGCAAACTAGGTCTTAAAAAATTGCGAAATTATAGGAATTTGAGTTCAGATTTATTCAGCTCGTCGAGTTGCATTCTGGCGGTGTCTGGCGCAGCTTTGACGCCGAATCTTGGCTGGATTTACTATCCATATGCTAAAATTTGCATAGGAAAAAACTAGTATTTTGGGATTTTTTCGCAAATGGTTGGAGCTATGCAAAATCCAAAGTTACCAATCGATAGAGCTCGTCGAGTTGTGTTCTGGCGCTGTCTGGCGCAGCTGTGGCGGGTTTGGCGCCGAATCTTGGCTGGATTTACTCGAATATGAGGCTAACTTCACCTACGTGTGGGTGTGGGTGTGGGTGCGGGTGTGGGTGTGGATGTGGGTGTGGGTGTGGGTGTGGATGTGGGTGTGGGTGTGAGTGTCGGTATGAATATACTAATAAACGGAACACTCGCATTCAAACCCACACCCACACCCCCACACTCACACCCTTACCTCACGACTTAGTAGTGGTTGTAGTTGTACCTCTAGTTGTGGTTGTGGTTGTCATTGTGGTGTTCATCGCTATTCATCAACATAAAACATTTATGTAAACAAAGCAGATTGTATTGGTCTGGGATAGAATCGACTATGGAACTCGGTGAATCGAAGTTTTAGGTGAAGCCTAAGCAGAGTTGTAAAGTAAAGCTACGCCATCAGTGGGACTGGAAAGAGAATTTTTCATTTCAAAAACTATTTTCTCATAGAGAAGCTTAAGTAGAGTGTTTGGAACGAACAGTCACTATGTCCTCATACTTTGTTCTGTAGAACTGCAACGGACTCTACTTTTAAGATTATTGTATGTCACCCATAAGATGAGAAGAGACCATTTGTCCAATAAATACAATTCATTTTGTCTGTGCTTCGCTTAATCTAATTTTCAAAGGATCGCCAGTTCTTCTCCGTTCGCACACCAACACTAATTGTATATGTAAGTTGTGTGTGAACGGTGAAGGAGTACCTTTAAGCAACATTCGAGTTTTACTTGACTCTATAGATAATTGTTTGTTCTCTTACTTGTTATTGGTGGACAGAGTTTTTTATTGTAACTCGGCACTGGATAACAAACAGGAAGGCTATGACATAGAGGATGATGAACACATACATGCTCAGGTTCATAACAACGGTTGTTTGTGGGATCGCATGCAACTAGCTCAGAACAATCCACGAATGGAAAGGCGCAAATGCCAGTGTCAATAGCACCTGCCAGATGGAAACAGTCACACGCACTAACGGGCGAACATTGATCATATTGAGATACCCCATGGCATATTTGAGAATTCACTCGAACTAGCAACAGACTAAATTAATAGCAATACATGCTAAACGAAACAAGAATCAAATCTGTAACGCTGAAATAGAAAGTCGATAAACGTTAGAAGAATAAATAAATGTGGAAACCTCTGACTTAAGTCCGAGAGTTATGTGTACTTCAAAAAGTGAATGAGACAAATCAGTCATCCTATAATGTGTGAATATACAAATTAGCTTGGCAAACCTTTTCTTTAAACACTTGAATTCTATTGACTACTGCTCAACCAATAGGATTTGGGGGCGAAATCAGCTCAGATTTGAACTCTTCGCCCTAATTTACCCTCAGAAAGTCGTTTTTTCTATAACTTGATTTCTATTTGTCAGTATAAGAAAATAGAACATTATGGCTTTTTTTATTGTAAATATAATGTAATATATATATATAAAGGGTGGTGTGGGTGTGGGTGTGTGGGTGTGGGTGTGGATTGTGAGTGTGGATGTAGATGTGATTTTTCTCTTTGATTCAACCCACACCCACACCAAGACTTGGAACCAGTCAAGTTTTTTCAGACCGCACCGGACCGGACCGGCCGGTCCAAACTCTTGGCTAAGCCGGCAAAAAGCCGGTAAAAAATCGGCCGGTCACAATTTTTGACTTTACCGGCGAAAAGCCGGTGTGCTTTCTGCATGAATTAACCAATCAGTACTTTTAAGAAACAGTCGATTACTCCAATTTGACGAAGATACACGGTTTCAAACTCACAATTCTTGAAGTTAGTAATATTACTAGCTCCTATTTCAGTGTGTCACGTTTCATGTGCTAACAGTAAAAACAAACAAACACTTCCTTCAAAAATTTTCACTAAGAACTCACACCAACTGATATTGAACAACATCCAACTATATTTTGGCTGACCTTCTTTCAATAGTAATATGATTCCTTTATTATTGATAATCTTGATCTATTTTATTTCAAATAATTATTTAACATAGCTGAAAAGCATCCCAATTCGCAAAAGAGATGCTACTGTAGACAAAAAGATAAGTAGAACTAAAGCGTTTGGTTATCATATTAGACTTCCTATTTAAATTTTCTTAAACATCTAAGTATTTTCACAGGTCATGATGGCAGTTGTCAACAAGATTTTGACAATAGAACTTAAGCTTTTCTGATATTTTGCTATGAAAGCACGAACTGAAAATTACCAGGTATTGAGATTCTATGAGACTTTGCTAAAATTAGTCCAGAAAAGTGAGCTCAAAATTTCGAGATGAAAAATCTATAGTTTAGATCGATATTCTCTTCTTGCATTTGGCTAATTTTTCGTGAGCATAAAAGAATTCATTCAACATACTCTGAGGGCCTTATCCTGGAATGGAAGGTGTTAGTCACTATTTAGAACTAGGATTTCGACAATGATTGAAGAATTATCGGTTGGAAACTTTCAGGTTCACATCTCTTGATCATTGAAATCACGAAAACTGTTAAAAACCAGCAAAATAGGCAGGTTTTCGCCCCCCAAAATTTTTAAAATTCGAAAAAAAACGGTAAAAAATCGGTAAAAACCGGTCGGTCTAAAAAGTTCGACCGAACCGGACTGGTGACCGGCAGGCCGGCCGGTCCGGTTCCAAGTATGCTCACACCCACACCCACACCCACACACTCATAATATAAGAGGATCAACGTGAACATCAATCTAGAATGAAATAGGTATATAACTGAAGTATTCTTGTGATTTTTCGAAATTATATAGAAATTTTTGCTATTCGATAATTTTCTCAGTAAACAAACAAAACACTTGATCAATATTTGTTTATTTCTTATAAAAAGAAAGACTCATTGATAGAAAAAAAGTATGATTGTTTATCAGGAAATTAGTTTACGATAATATCCATGTTGGTGTAAATGGTTTAAAATTCCATTTATCTGGATGACCAATATGCGATACGTGTTTGTCAAAATCCGATTGACTCCAAATAAATGGTACTTGTTGATCCGTTGTTGGACCAGCAACAGCAACAATTGAAGAATGTTGCATCAATTCATAGCTAGTAATCTTTAAAGAGAAGAAGTAACACTAGGTTATCAAAGAACTACGATAAAGATTGCCACATGTTGACATCACGAAAGTTATTACTGAAATCTGCTCATTTACAACAAGAATTTCTCTTTTACGTTAATATTCTTTCTCCATAAATATGGATTCTTACTAGGGTTAACTTTACTCTGGGAGCTGATCCGCTCCTAATCCTTACTTTAGCATCTGTAGCACCACCACAACGATGTCCTAATGGTTTATCTGGATATATTCCATTGATATCATTGAGATCGCATCGTGCAGCAATTGTTAATATCGCTGAATATGGTGGAGTACAATTACATTTCGATAATTCATCATGTTTAAAATCATTATATCTATTGTTTAAATAAAGAAAATAAATTTACGCAAAATAAATTTTTTAAAATTAACCTCATCATATGAATCATAGTCGGAAGATCGATAACTTTATCATGATCACGTCGAAATATTTTTGCACGTGATGAATTTTGCCATGAATATAATGCTGGACCTTTTTCCTTAACCATTGCTTCTTCACCGGATATATTACGAAAATCTGGAAAATAAATATTATTATATGATGCCCAATAACTCTTATTATTGAATATTTCTGTCATATCTGCTGATTCATGATAGGTAGTCATTTGTTCAGCAACTGTTAAAAATCTATCGAATAGAAAAGAAACATTCAAATTTTATTATATTTTATTTTTTTTTACCCAGGTTTTGGCGGTGTTCCTGGTGTAAATTGTTTAAAGTCTGTAATCATCCATTCATTATTATATGTTCCATCATTAAAAATAAAAAAATTGTCGGCCCACTCTTTACCAGAAGTAGCTAGACGATTAGCAACTACGACTCGCATCCATTCGGGGACAGATATTGGATTAATGTTACGATATAAATCTTTATTATAATTATCAATGGTTGTTTCAATTACCGTTAGGTTTGCTGGGCCTGTCATATAAAAATCATCTAAGAAATAAAAAAAGAACCTTTTAGATCTATAATTGAATAAGAAATCTAACCAATTGAGTGAAGTGTTCCTGGATAAGATGAAAAAATTATATCAGAACCTGGAATAACGACACCTAGAAAAAGAAAAAATAATAATGAAAGATTGAAATTGACGACTCCAACTGTTGGCAGCTGATGTTCGTTTCAATGGCATTGTGTAACGTTTGAGTACTTTTAACATTGAGTTATAATTATCCCAAGTAGCATGTGACACAAATACATCCTTATTATCTGGAAGAATCTGAATAAGAAAAAAACACATTTTTCTTTAATAATAGAATAATATAATGTTCAGTGTGTGTGTGTCTGTCTATGACGGGTCAAAGGTTAACGATCAAAGGTCAAATAAGGCTCTAAGGGCTATTATATATGAGGGTGCCTGTAGATCCTCAAGGGCTATCCTGTGGGAGTGCCCCTGGATTCTCAAGAGCTGTTGTATGAAGAAACCCATAGACCCTTAAGGGCTATTATATATGGGAATCCATTAGTCGCCAAGGGCTATTATATAGAGGGATCCATAGGTCCATAAGGGCCATAAGGCTATTAGAGAGTAGGGAATAAGGGGATAACAGGCTAAGGCTACAGAGGCATAAGGGATACAACTAAAACAGTATAAGTAGATAAGGTTGTATAGGATATAAGCGATAAGAGAATAATGGAATAGGAGTATAAGAGGTAATACCACCATAGTATCCGGCCACAAGGGTGTAAGAGTACGAGGGTATAAGGCTATAAGGTCTCTCTATATATACAATGCGAACTGACTGATTTTCTATTATCGAATCAAGGCTAAATGACAGATGTGAAACTTTACGGTAAAAAAGCATCCGTTCAGTATGCACAGGCTCTCGCGAGTAGAATAATATTTTTTACTTTGATTAATGCTGAACAACTATCATGCCGTGAAATATTTTGGAAGCCCAAATGAACAGCAATGTCATCAATAGATGCGAGTACTTGAAATAGACTATAAAAGAAATTTGTTAAAATCTATTAAAAAAATAAAACATTAATTTTGATTACAAAAATCCGAGTGGATCTTCAAGTTCTTTTCTTGGTCCACGTGTTTTATTTTGATATCCATCGATGAGACCATTCAATTGCACAAGAAGTAAATTTATCTAAAAAATCAAATATGTTTAAAAATAAATCTTTTCTTTTTTCTTGTGCATATACCTGATGCCAATATTCATCATTAGGATGCGTGTCAATTTGCATATAAATCCAATTAAGTTGAGTTAGAAAAAAATTCTTTAGTTTTCCACAAAAATCTGTTCGATTAACACAAATATCAGTTATGGTATTTTGCCATTGCATACGAGTTAATTCTATAAAAACAAATATTGATTATTTAAAATCAAGAATCAAATTTAACCTTGTGTAAATTGTCCTTCAAGTAATCCAGCTGAATAAACTTGATCAATATTTGTTTGATTTTCTGCCGTTTTTATTTCTAATACGGACCAACCAGTTATATTATAAGTTTGATCCCAAGATCCAGTTGCTAAAACATTATTAGCATTACCATCGGGTTCTTTATAAGAATCTGCTAATGTTGTCACTATTTCATATTTTCTATTGGTTTTTAAAATATGACCGCGAAATCGATGGAGAAATGGATCATCATTTGCCAATGTTAAAGTAAGCGCGCTAAACACAACAAACACTAAACACTGAGCAAACATGCTTTAATTTAAGTGAAACAAAGTGACTTAAATGTTAACTGTTGATATATAGATTGTTAGTGAAAATAGATAAGAAAAGAAAGATTAGATTGCCATTCGAACTTCACTCGAGTAGAGAAGACAAGTGACTGTCCGGGTTTCGAAAACTTCATAACACGATTGCTTTTCTATTTATTCAATGTAAGCGATGAAAATATTTTTTTAAACGTTCGAGACTCCTTCATGGATGAGTTTAAATTATACAATAAAACATAAGGTTTGCAGAACACATCGGTGAAGTTAGCGGTAGATTCGATTTTTTTCAGCGAACGTTCGCGTATTTACTTGTGCCCAAGCAATTCATCAGTGTGTCTTATACAACTCGACGAGCTCTATCCAATGGTATAATCAGAATTTCCATAGCTCAAAGTATGACCCAGAAAATCCCAAAATACTGCTTTTTTTTAATGAAATTCTGGCAGCATATTCGAGTAAAAGCTACCTATATTCACTGTATCAGTTCTGAAAATACTTGTGTCCGATGCACCTCGATAAGCTCTATCCAATGGTGTACTCAGATCTTCGATAGCTCAAAGTATGTTTTCTGGACTGATAGATGGCCCTAGAGAAAATCTGAAAATCATACTTTGAGCCATCGAAGATTTGAGTGAGCTATCGGTGATCTGAGTATACAGTTGGATAGAGCTCATCGAGTTGCAACGGACACAAGTATTTTCAGAATTGGCACAGCGAATATGGACAGCTTTTACTCGAATATGCTGCCAGGATTTCATTAAGAAAATACAGTATTTTGAGATTTTCTGGGTCATACTTTGGGCTATGGAAAGTCTGATTGCATCATTGGATAGAGCTCGTCGAGCTGTATAAGACACACTGATGGATTGCTTAGGCACAGGTTAATATGCGAATGTTCGCTGAAAAAAAGTTGAATCTGCCGCTAACTTCACCGATGTCATTTATGTTCACAAATTTCTTGATGAAAATGAGTGTAAGGGCAAAAATATTGTGGATATTCTGTTTTTTTAATTTTAGCATTCAAAGAAATGTGGAGAAACTGAGCAGGAATTTCTATTCTTCAGTCTCTGGGCACCTCTCTTTGGCCACAACGATTTGTACTGCAACAGGCTGTCCTATGATGAAAAGTGCAATCACAATCTTGTGTATCCCTATTGTATTAATTGACAACATTGCGCATAGAAAAAATATTAATATTTTTGATATAATAATTTTCAACATCATAAATCTTTCTTTCAGAAAAGGGTCAGCGAATCATTAGATGAGCGCTACTTGTGCTATTATCTGTTAATCTAAATTATCACAAAACAAATGAAGATCATGAATTAGTTTTATTTGATTTTCAAGATACAAATGAAAGATTTCTTATTTATGTTAGAAATGGAATAGCTGATATTAAATATTATCAATCTGAAAATGTTCAATCAAATAATATTGATATATTTTATTGTCATTTCACTGTTCTTTTTTCAAAGTTGATAGTTACAAAAAAAAAGAATTTTCTCGATAAAAGTGTGACTGCTCAGTACATTCAAAGAATAGACAACGAGTATAAGATGAAACTATTTAAGTATATTGGATTTAATATCTTTCTATCGTACTTCATCCTCGAAATAATGATGTCTTTATCACTCATATCGATTTGTTGAGGTCTCAGTGTCATTGAAATCACGTTCGTTGGTACATATGAAACGCATTTTCACGTCTCAACTCGTTAAATATTTTATATTGGATGAGTGTGCAAAAAGAAGTAGAAGATTTATTCTGAAGTTGATATTTCCATTC